TAGGTTAAGTCCATACAAGTCTTACTTAGCTTTTGAATAATCATGATGTAACTTTCTCATTCCAATAAAATTCACTGAAATTATTTGATTCTTCTAATACATCACCACTGCCTTCACCTGATCAGGGTCCGTATGACTGTTAGTTTGTTTTATTTGTCTCTTTTTGTTCCTTCTTTTGTGTTTTTCCCCTTTTTGATAATGTAAAAGGGGGAGAATGTAGTTGGCTGATTGTATTTGAAGTTGAGTTTGTTTATCTTATGTATTTGTTATCTAATTTCAAAAAAAAAAATTAAAAAAAAACTGTTTCCATTATTTTTAATATAATTATCTTTAGTGAGGGTAAGATTAGAAGAAAATATTTTTAATTTACAAATTCAACTAGTAATGTTTGCCATCATAAAAAAGGAGGAGATTATTGCAACTTGAGCTCATGAGTTAATATTTTTTATGATAATAAATATTGTGGCTCACATCATTATTTCTCCAAGTATTTTTTTTTCAATATTTGTTTGTGTGTATACTAACATTTATGGAACATAATGCACCATCCAACGAATATTCAAAACCTAAGATTGGATAGAATAGGTTATGCTATATTATTGATGTATTTTTTATTTCTTGAGTCAAGTCCTATAAGGGTGTTTGCTTGTTTAGTGACCATACACACATGCACTCAAGAGAGTAAGATTGGATTAAAATTAGAAGTTTGAATTTTTTTAACAAATCATATTATATGATTTCTATTGTACTACACGATAAGCTCATAAAAAGGGCTAATTTTGATATTATTGAAATTTGAACTAATCGCACTGTACGATATACATCGTATAGGATGATCCATAAAAATAAAGGAACTTAGCCACAAATTTTAAATTAGGCAATATTTCAAAATTCATTTTTTTTTCTAATCATACAATTTGATACTCAACATACTTTACAATGTAAATCAATCATGCCTAAATTGATCACATGATTAGGGGAATAAATATGATTAATTTTTTTGATCACATCATATATGATGATTTGGCTGATCATACTGTATGATCTGATTCTTTCATGGGAAGATAATTAATTGCCACCCATCGTACTGAATGATTATATATGTTATTTGTACTAATCGTATGGGATGATTCTATAAATCATACCGGATGATCAGTTCACCTCCTTGAATTGATCGTACAAGGCATAGGTGTTCATACTGGCTGAAAGCGTTATTTTGAACTAATCGTACAGGACGATCCTAAGATTGTACTAGAAAAATTAGTGCCACTAGAATTAAGTTTCCAAGAGTTTTTCAAAGCCCTCTATTTATACTTTCTCAAAAGACTTAGTATATGTCTTTGGCATTCATTGAGTTATTTTTCTTCTGAAGAAAATTTGAGGAAGCCTTGAGCTTGAGAAAGGAAAGGGTGGAGTTTATGAGAGGGAGAAGATCCTTATGGGTTTCAAGGGGATGTGAGCGGGAGTTTTTCATAGTTGCTCCAGCTTACTTGCACCTAAGTACCATCATAGTCAAAGTTTTTCTTAAGGAAGGTTTTGTGAAGAAGAATATCTCTTTGGTGTCAAATGACCTGGCTACTCTCCCGCACCGGGGAAGGTGAAAGTGATTTAAGATTCTATGCCTGTGAAAGGATTCATGGTTCTCTGCCATCAACTGAAAGGTGAAAATGGATTTGAGGTTCTCTACAATCTCTTGGAGGGAGAAAAAGGGTTACAGTCATTTGTCGTACCAGGTTGGTGGAAGAGACTTTTGTAATACCTATAATATAAGTTTTTGGGGATTGAACATATGTCAATTATGATTGAACCACTATAAATTATATTGGGTTTGTTCTTATTATTTTTGGCACTTTATGTTTCTTTGATTTTTTTTTTTTTTTTGGTTGGATGCTCAGGTGGTTGAGTGGCTTTACCCTTAGAGATAGGATACGAAATGAGCATATACAAGGTTGGAGTAGCTCCAGTAGAAGATAAGATTAGAGAGAGTCGCCTTAGATGGTTTGGTCACATAAAACGGTAGCCTTCTGATGACCTGGTTAAGAGAGTAGAGGTATTAGATTTGACTTATGTTAACAAAGATAGGGGTAGACCTAAAAGACTTGGTTAGAAAATATTAGGAATGACCTTTCTTTATTAGATTTAAACGAGAATTGGACTTTTAATAGGACACAATGGAGAAAAATGATTCAAGTAGCCGACCCCACGTAGTGGGATAAAGGCTTGATGTTGTTGTTGTTGTTGTTGTTGTGGTTGGAAACTCTGATTTTTATTTATTATGAAATTACATTGCTTCCACATCAAGTTATAAAAATATATATTTTTTTGTTGAATAAATTTTTTAATAACTAGCTCTAAAAATGAAGTTATTAAAGTCCTAAAACTTACTATAACGAATATCATTGCCCCCTGATTTATCAGAACTAAACCTACAACAATTGAAATCACTAAGAATAACCCAAAGAGAGAGAGAGAGATACTTCAAACAATAATAATTAAGTCTTCCCAAGAGGATATTCTTTCAAAGAAAGAGTTAGCAACATAAATATCAGTGAGAATATAAGAAGGAGACGAGCTCATAAAGAAGGTGACATGAATCATTTAGCTAGTAGAGAGAGTTCGAGTAAAAGAAATCGTGGAAGCATTCCATTTGGTCAATATTCTACTAAAATTGTAGAAATTGAAGTTGTTATAAGAAGTTTCATTGTCAAAAATAGAATGGGAGGCTTAAAACCATAGATTAATAGCTAGAGATGAATGTATTTTAGCTTCTAAAATACACAATAATTCTAGTTTATGGGATTGAATAAACTTCTTACAATTTAATACACTACTAAGGCTATTGAATCCCCTAACATTACAAGAACTAATAGGGGAAAGGTCATTGAGATTTAGGTTTGGGTGTGGCTACCTTCTTGGCATTCTTCGCTATGGATTTCTTGGGAATAGTGATTACAAATTTGGAAACATTTACTTTTGGCTTATGTGAATATAAGAGTTGGGTTGGGTTTTTTAGAGGATTAATAATGTTAGTCTATTCGAGGGCCTTCAAATTTGAGAGCTCGAAACTTTTTGGAGGTAGTGAAAGAGTTGGATTGATGAGAGGTTGACCTCAACTGATGAGAGTGGGAGGACGAATCACTTAAAGAATCATTAGAGGTGGTCAACATTTTAGTGGGAGAATTTAGGTTTGGGAGAGGCTCATTTGTGGCACTTGAAGACATTGGTCACACACTAGTAACATCATTGGCAGAAGGGGGATGGGAAAAAATCGTGACATCCACCACATCAACTGGATTATTAAAGGACTAAGGGTCCATGGTGGAGGGTTTCGAAAAGAGTAGTGGGGTAGATTTTAGAACTGCTAGTTTAGGAGGATGGGAAGTGGGATTTTAGGAACTTCTTCTTCCCCTAGTGGATCTATCTAGGGGTTTTGTACATAAGGGTTGGTAGGGAAAAGAGTAGGGGGTGGCTTCTAGTAATAAGTGACTCAAAGGGTGCAATTAGATCCAACAATAGAAACAAAAACTACATCTTGTAATAGAGCCCTTTTGCACTTGGACACATACTCTTACAAAGGTAAGCTAGGTTTTTTCAGCAATGAGAGAGGCAACTGCGAGGGGACAACCGATACAACTAACAATCTTAGAAATACCTATAGAAGTCTAACAAGCCAATGAAAGGTCATGTATTTTAACCCATTACGGGGAGAAGAGAAATCTTTCCGCTTTGGATTAAACAATGGTGACCATTTCTGCAAAATGAAATGTTTCCCTCGAATAAACCAATTGCCATCTGACCACACCATTTCAACTTTCATCGACAAAGAGAACTTAAGAAGAAAGAAACCCTTGCTTAATGCAAGAAATGTAAGTGTACCTTTTAGCAACCAAATTTTATTAATGTAAGCCCTCAAAGCTTCATAGTAGGGCCGCTTACCTATGAGTAATCAATGAGGGATAGCCCCAAAGAGGTCGAGACATTTTAGGCATCCTCCTTATAAATCTGAGCCACAAAGTCCATGGGGGGGGGAGGGGGACAAATGAAAGGGGGAAATTGGGAGAGAGGAGAAGGATGAGGAAAATGATCCCATTTCAGCTAAGGGAGAAAGGAAAGCAACGAAACATAGAATTAGATGAGGGGGATTTGGAGAAGACAAAGGAGAGTCTATTTCCAAATGCTATATTTAATGGAGAGTGGAGCAGAGGTGGGGGAAAGCCCCCTGTAGGGACGAGAGTAGCAGAGGTGCCAAGACGACTTGGTTTAGAAGAAACTACTAGTTAGCAGCACGGCGAGTATCTCCTATCTTAATAAACTTTATGAACATATTTGGTATTGATTGATTTAACTTGTGTGCTCATATAGATTATTTTCCTCTTTAAACCTATTTCAAATGCTATATTTAATGGCCTCGACATTCTCTTTGACTTACAATTTCTTCCGCCTCATTTTATTTTTTAAATAATATCATTAAAAATGTAGTGTTACATTTAAATAATGCATCATAATTGTAGTGCACACACACACTAGCGCGCGTAAAAGCTAATCGAGTCAAATCGAGTATTTGCCTTATCAAGCCTGGCTCGTTTAATCCTTAATGAGTCGACTCGAGGTCGAGCTCGACTTCGTTTAGGAAATATCAATCTCGAGCTCGACTTAAAAGCTCGAGCTCGTTTGAAAAACTATAGCTGCCGATAGGTTTTTTTTATAAGATAAGCTTTCAAATATTATAAAAAAATAATATTATAATATAATATATATAATTATATCAAGTAGCTTGATCAGATTTCGAGTCGAGTCAGGTTGAGCTTGAACTCGAGCTCGTTTGATAAACGAGCTTGATTGTAGGCTCGAGCTCGAAGCTCGATAAGCTTGACTCGCGAGCTCGTTAACGAGCCGAGCTCGAGCCTCGGCTCATTTACACCCCTAACACACACTACCCGTTGCATCACTTTTGCCCCAGTCTGCTGATTACAAAGTCTAGTGTGGGCGAAGTCTATGTTCTTTTACAGTTTTCCTTGGCTCATGCAAGGCACCAGTTGAACAGAAGAGTCTCACTTTTTCGTGAAGCCTACTCCCCCTCTCCTTCCTTATCCTTCCAGCACGCAGAAAGGAGATGGTTACCTCCCAATCTGCTAATGTTGCCGTTTCATTAGACTCCGGCCAAACCAGACTCAAAGAGCTCGGTTACAAGCAAGAGCTCAAGCGCGATCTCTCGTACACATCTCCTTTTTTTTTTTCTCATTGCCGAATCTATTTATATTGGTTTTGTGATCATTTATAGTTTTTGGATGTTTGATGGTGTTATTTCAGGGTGTTATCCAACTTTGCCTTCTCCTTTTCGATTATATCGGTTCTCACGGGAGTCACAACGCTCTACAACACTGGACTCAGATATGGTGGACCTTCTGTTATGACTTATGGGTGGTTTCTTGCTGGGTTTTTTACGACAATGGTGGGGCTGTCAATGGCTGAGATTTGCTCGTCTTACCCGACATCAGGCGGACTCTATTACTGGAGCGCCAAGCTCTCGGGAAAGGATTGGGCGCCCTTCGCTTCCTGGATAACTGGATGGTATGCTCTCATCCAACTTTTTCCATTGTTTTTTAAATTCTGCTTTTAAATCTTTTACATTTTTTTTGTGATTTTTTAAAGTGGGGGGATTGGGAAAACAATATGGTTTGATCCTTGAGGTCCTGCTTGGCTTCAAGTAGGATTTACGTCAAGCAGAAATTAGTAAATCTTTTAAATCCATATTTAGTAAATCTTGACAGGATTAAAATATTAAAATTATTAGGCATGACAATCATTAAATCTTGATAGATGTTGATAAATTGTTTGGTTATTTATTTTAGGATTTAAGATTTGTTAGAGAGATCCTAAATCTCTTAAATTCGGTGAATTGTGATATTTAATAAATTCTGGATTTTCCATTCAAAGTCTCTAGTATTCTGATGGTAGGATTTAAGCTAAAATTTACTTAAATCTTGCCTAAAATAGGATACTAAATAGTCCCTGACGGTTAAAATAGTTTTAGCAAGGATTGCTTCAATTTTCTTGATTAATTCCAAGGGTATTGCTTTAGCTATATAAAGAAGATTAAGAATGCCTGTAGATTGAATTGAGCTTCTTAATCTTGTCGGCAAGGGTGCAATCAGAAAGAGTTCAGTGCCCACTCTAATTTTTTTTTCTTAAAAGAATAAGTATTTTAACTATTTGCACAACTTCAATAAATGCAGTTGCTCAAATCCTAAGAAAAAATTTCTTTTTTAATTTCATGCATAAAATTATGTATTTCACAATCTTATTTTGCCCACCCTCAAAAGTGAGGTTGGTTCTGCCCCTGCTTGTCAATTATCTGCTTTTTTGCTTTGTACATTATGTCATATTTGAGGACAATTTAATTCTTTTCTTGTTTTCATAATTGACGGATTTATGGACATATGCATGAGTAATTTTAAACACGATTGTTGTTGGGCCTCAAGCCTTGGATGAGAAAAGTGGAATGTTGCATTATGTAGCTGATAGCCAGCATCAAACTTTTTGAACAATCATGATATGAATCCTTCAATGCATTGCATTAGTGCTCGGACATTCTCTGGAAATGAAACACTGTATGGTCTGAATATAACAAAAAGTTTACAATGACCACTGCATTGGGGCTCGAGTATAGTGTTAAATAAGCAAGGATTCCCCTATTATGAATAGATGTAGGCAAAGAAGCTAGTCCATGAAATTATAATTATAATAAGAACTTGGAATAAAGGTATTCTTATTGACAAATTAATAGAATTAATAGATAATATGATTTATAGGAAGATAAATATTTTATGTAATCAGGAAACTAAATGGATTAGGAAAAACACTGTAGTGATTGATAATTTAGGATTTAAATTTTAATATTCTGGAAGGAATCATATTAGAAATGGTGCAGGAGTAATTATAAATAAGATTTGAAAGATGATGTTATAGAAATTAATATAATTGATTATAGAATTATAGCTTAAAAAATTATTATTGATTCTAAAATTATTAATGTTATAAGTCCTTATGCTCCTCAAGTAGGTTTAGATGTGTTTTTAAAAATAAAAATTTTAAATTATTTAGAAGAATTAATGCAAAGGATATCTCTTGAAGAAAATTTTATTGGAGAGATTTAAATTGATATATTGGCAGAGTGCATTAAAGTTGAAGATCAAAAAAATATTTTTCTTAGAAAAGAGGATATTCAATGTTGGTGAATTAAATATTTTGTAAATTTTTTAATGAATGTTGTGAGAATACGATTGACTTTAGTAATCTTAGCATCCTAAATGAAAATAAAGATTTTTTTTATCATTGTATTAATAAAATGAAAGTTTTAGAGACTATAAAAAAAGTCCTAAAAAGTAGTAGGAATTGATGATATTCCAATAGAAGTGTGGAAATACTTAGGAGATCATGTAATTTCATGAATTACTATATTTTTTAATATTATTTTGGAGATTTAAAAGATATTAGATAAGTGGAGAATTAGTGTGTTAGTTTCTATGTTTAAAAATAAAGGTGATGCACAAGAATATGAGAATTATAGATGAATAAAGTTAATGTGTCATGTATTAAGATTATGAGAGAGAGTAATTAAGCATAAGTTATGATGTGATACTAATACTTCTCAAAATTAATTTACATTTGTTATGTGCTAGAACATTCATGATGATAGAGAGATATATAGAGTTTAATATCTTAGCTTTGTACAAAAATTCAGTACACACATAGGTAAGAGAGAGTGCGTGCTGCAAAGTTATAAAAGTTACTAGAATTTTTACGTTAAAATTTATGAAAAGGGGAAAAACCAATGGACCTCGCCTGGTTGGGGATTCCACTAGTGTTTAGGTTGATTACAAAAAATGCCCTTCCTCTGGAGAAGGCTTTGGCACAATTTAGAGAATATGCATAATATAAAGCACATTCGATCGTTGGAGTTGGAATAATCTAATGTCATGAGAGTTGTTCTTAAGAGATCATTAACTAACTTATTTGATCGATAAGATCGTAGTCTCGCAACAGTGTTTAGAGATCCATTATCGGTTGATAGAGGTCGAAGGGACTACAATCAGACGAAAGTGGTCGAAGGCATTGTAGCCGGGCGGCGGTGCTTGGAGGGACTATAGTTGGGTGACAAAGGTCGAATGGACAATAGTTGAGCAATAGAGGTTGAAGGGACCGTAGTTGATGATGAAGGTCCATAGGATCATAGTGGGTGGCGAATATGTCATGTCCTGGAATCTAATTTGAAATAATTATTTCTTTTATATTTTATATAATTATTAGAGCTATCTGATTTTTTTCAATAATAAAATATCAGTGGAAGTAAAATCTATTGATCAAAATATCAATATATATCTATAATTACTCTTCAAAAATCATATATATTATTTAGGACTTATACAAATATAATAATCCATCTATTCAATTCTGGGTACAAAAGAATAACTAAAAGAAAAAATAAACAAAAAATAATAAAACCTGAGGAATTATGTAACTAATCAGTCTCACACTCTTGATCATTTTCTCTGACTTAAAATTATTTTAATCACATATAATTAGCTAAAAAGCTCAACAAATTCACTGGAATCCTACAATTGAACTCAAAGCACGATAAATAAATAATATGCATATGATTATTTATTTCATAATAATAACAGTCAATATAATCATGAATATATCCATAAATAGTAAAACACATACTATATAATAAAATATGTGAACTGGTAAACCAATAAGGTGTGGAAGCCTGTAAAATAGTGCATTATGATAATAATAAAATTTGTAAACCAATAAACCTAGTACATATGTCATGCATACATCATAATAGTGCTATCAAATCAATAAAAAAATCATATAAATTAGTAAAACTTAAACATTTAAAACTTAAGCATTTATGATGATTGTTAGAACTCATAACAATGAAGTACTATAAAATTAGTATATACATAATATTCAATCATTTTATATAATTATCAAATCAATATCTTATATTATATGCTCATTAATAGAAATCATGTGCTTCGTAATAGTAAACCGTATATCAAAAACAATAACAATAACAGTGAATTAGTAATAACATCCGTATTAGTAAAATTTATAATAGTAACAGTTAAATAGTGTAATAACTATAAATCAGTATAGTGATAGTAAATTAATAATGCATCCCAATAATCACACAAAATAAGCCAAAAGCTATGGCTTGCATGATATTTTTCTAGTAATCACTAATCTTTGGCTCAATAAATAGAGTCGGTAATCGTTATCTGTCGATACAATAATCATCTTCTTATAATTTTAGATTAGTGAATCACATGAATCAATAGAGGATAACAAAACCATAGTATTAAGAAAGTCTATTGACTTACCATCCTGTACAGGTCAGTCAGTCTACAACCAACGTCAATGAGTAACCAACATTTACTTGTTTTCACACGCATTATTATTTAATATTATAAAAGCAATAGCGACCCACTATCACTCAATTACATACTAGTATTCATTTATTATGCTTGCAATAACAATAGAATCAGACTAAACTGTTAATCATTATTCTTATTAAATCGTAAAAAATGCAATAATTGCACTCTTAACCAATGAAATTAGGAAATCAACAAGCCAAAATGTCCAGAATAATCGGAACCATAACATATAAAAAGTTATGCAGTAGAAGTTCACTAAATCCAGAGAAAATTCAATTAAAATCATTTTGAAAGGAATCAAATGGTAGAAATCAAAATCTTTGAAATTAGAAATAGGAAAGAAGTCACCTACAATGATCTGAGCAATTTTCGTAAAAGTGATGGAACGAACCAGGGTTAAAAACTTAGCTTTCTCTTTCATCTCTCTTCTCCTTCATTCCCCTTATCTTCTTTTCTTTCATAACAAGCCACAATGTGAGGGAGTGAGGGAGTGAGTGAAGAAAAAAATATATAAATAAATTTATTTTAGTGCTCAACATTACCTAGTACTATTACGCTGCATGCTAAATCTAGAATTATTTTAGAACAAAGCTTTTAATGTCGTGACGATAATGTTTTGGCGTTGTTGCGCTCTCAATCACAGTGCTGTTGTGCTCTAGTTGAAACAAAAATTTATATTTTTCATTTAAATTTTTTTTAGGTTGTTACAAAAGGTCAGTGGGATCATAGTCCGATGACGAAGGTCTGCGAGAATGTAATCAGGTGATGGATGTCAAAAAAATTGTAGTTGAGTGACAGAGGTTGGAGGGACCATAGTCAGGCGATGGAGGAGGGAGGGATTGTAATCGGGCGATAGAGATTAGAGGGTCTGTAATTGGTTCAACGGTGGTCATAAGCATTGTAGTCGGGTGACGGAGGTCAAAGAGATTTTAGTTGGGTGTTGGAGATTGAATGGACTATAGTTAGGCGATGAGGGTGGGGTGATAGAGATTGGTGGGACATTAGTCAAGCAACGATGGTCGAAGGTATTGTAGTCAGGCAACGGTGGTCGGAGGGACAGTAGCGGGTGATAGAGGTCGGAGGGCTATATTCAGGCAATGGTGGTCCGAGGGACCGTAGTCGGACGACGGAGGTTGGAGGGAATGTAGTTTGGTGATTGAGGTTGGAGGGATAATAGTTGGGAGACAATGGTTTTGGAACCATATTCGATGGGTGACGGTGGTATGTGGATGTTGGTTGATGGTTGAAAGGTCGAGAGACTGTCAGCTAGTAAAAATCTGATTGCAGTTCTTGGTAGGCAAAGTCTGATAGTGGATGTCGAGCGGAGGTCTAGCTACGATGGATGGTTGGAGATCTAACGGCGGACGATTGATGAAAGCATTGTTGGCTGCGGTTGGTCGGAGGTTTGATAGTGGCAGCCAAGAGAAGGTTCGGCGGTAACAGCTGGGAGGCGAGGGTTTCCTGGTGGTGGTGCTCAGATAGAGTTACAGGATTCTTTAAGCCCTAGAACTCTCTTCCCTCTCTTAGCTAAGGGTTTGAGTTCCAAGTCCCAACTCTCTTCTCTTTTAATATAGGGAGGAGGGGGCTATTTATAGAAATTTGGGAGGGACATGCCACATAAATATAGAGCAGATCCAGAGCAAATCCATAGTGCTCCATCAGACAGCCCATATTGATTCCCCTAATCATAGAATGTTTCTTCGACATTCATGTGCTTAAATGACATTGGAATCATGCTATCTTAGGCTTGTGGGATTCGTCTCATCGAGCCACTCAATTCGACTATAAGTATGTTATATTTGAAAATTATTTGATCTTCTAATTAATATTCTAAAACTTCTAGATATACTTCAAGCTCTTGATTTGGGCTCATTTAGGCTTATTTGGGCTCAAATTAGATTGATTTTAGTGTGATTGGCTTCGGCTCGTTAAGATGTTCAATTTGACTATAAGTTTACTAAAATTAGAGTTCATATGGTCTATAATTTAATTTTAAAAGTTTTCAATTGAAGTACGCCTAAAGATCTATGCCTGATCAAGGCAATTTTTGATGTCGTATCAAGATTTATGTTAGGTAGGTCCACTATGGAAGCTATACATCTATTGAGAGGTTTGATGAAGTATAAAGAGAGTAAAGTGGATCTATATATAATATTTGTATATTCATAGAAAGCATTATTAGATATTTGCAAGAGGATGTACCTTGGTATATGCTTTTTGCTGATAATATTCTTTTTGTTGATAAGACTATAGAGAGAGTTGATGAAAAACTTGAATTATGTAGGTCAACCTTAGAGTCTAAAGGTTTTCCTTTTAGTAGATTTAAAATCAAATATAAGGAGTATAATTTTTGCAATAATAAATCTAGTGGTAGGATTATGACATCAGATGATCAAGTCATTAAAAAGAGTATACATTTTAGATATCTTGGGTCTATTGTTCAAAGTGATGGTGAAATAGATGAGGATATTATTTGTAGAATTCAAGCTGGATGGTTGAACTGGAAAAATGCATTGTGCCTTTTGTGTGATAGAAAAATACCCTCAAATTTAAGGTAAATTTTTATAAGACAGTGATGAGACCTGCAATGCTTTATGGCAAAGAATATTGGTCATTACAAGAGAAAGATAAAATCAAGTTAAATGTTGTGAAGATGAGAATGTTCAGGTGGATAAGTGGCTCTATACTTATAGACATAATGCAATGAGCATATGCATCAAAAGGTTGGAGTAATTTCAATGGCAGATAATATTAGAGAGTTACCTTAGGTGGTTTGGTCACATAAAATGTTGGCCTTCCGATGGCCTTTTAGGAGAGTTGATGTATTAGATCCGGCCTTGTTAAGAAAGGTAGATCTAGGCCTAAAAATACTTTGTTAGAAAGTATTAAAAATAACTCCTTTTTTTAGATTTAAATAAGAATTTAACTCTTAATAGGACAAAATAGATAAAAAGGGTTCATGTAGCCAACCTTATGTAGTGGGATAAAAATTTGTTGTTGTTGGATGAGTAATTTTGTTACCTATATTTTATTTAGGAATGAGAGGGAAGTTCTTTTTATTTAAAAGAAAATATCTCATTGAATTGTTTAGTATTTCTTAATTTTAAGGACTACGTTTAAAAGATTTTTCATCTTCAAATTTTTGGTCAATGAGAATGCCGCTTTGTTCTATAACAATTAAAAAATATTTTTCTTGTTTTTGAATGTTTTGGGAAAATTTGTGAGTCGGATGCCTTTTATAAAAAGGTAAAAAAATTTCCTCCAAAGAAATGGAAGATCAATTTTGAAATTTATGAAATTATTTTAATGTCTTGTTTTGGATTTTCAGAAATCATGATGGTCCTGCTCTGCACGCTGTGGGCCGTTTATGGCCATGTTTATTTTAGGAAACATTGAGATACATGCCCGTACCCAATAAAATTATCATAATCTGTTGCTATGAAATTACCTTGTTATACTTTCCTCTTCTTTTTTTGTTTTTTTTTGGTGTCGTGTCTTTATGGTATTTTCCATTAGTTAGGCGCTGAAAATACATGCAACATTAAAAAATTTAACTATCATGCTTACTTCATTACAGTTAATTGCATGTGTACTCCACAGGGACCTTGTGAGAATAAAAGATGTTTAGATTGGTTTAGCAGAGTTTCAAATTTATGTACTGCCTCTTCTGTGAACATTATTAACATAGACGAGTGCATTGGATTGGCGGATGACATATCATCTGAAACATGCCTTTTTATGTAAGTTTTGGAGGCTTTTTTTCTTTTTTTAGTAGAACTTTTAAAAGGACTTTCTGAAAAGCTCAGTATATCTTCATATGTTGTGTTAGTTTTGAATTTAAAGATTGATGTTGTAAAGATATTTTTTTTATTCAAGAAGGCTCATTGTAATTTGGAACATGTGTATTCAGTACAAATTTAAAATATTTCACGTTGTTACCGTTTCAGTGATTTCAATTGAGTTAGAAGGAACCTTGCAAGGGGGCATTTTTTATTTTTATTTATAAATATTTAACCTCACAACTGTGTCACGATCAAAATTTAAGGCTGATATGGGTTCTGTGATCAAATCAAACAATCAATATTTACTTTGAGCCCCCAAAAGTTGAGTTGAGAATTTGATATATGAACCTTAGAGTCGGTTAATCAGGAAGAGCTCAGGGCGAGCAATTGTTCACATTGAATTTTTTTTTCTTAGAAGAATAAACATTTTAACTATTTTGCTCCCTTCAATTGATGCAATTGCCCAAATTCTAAGGAAAAAATTTATTTTTCTATTTTGTACATAAAATCATGTATTTCACAATCCTATTCCCCCCCCCCCCCCTCCCCCCCCCTAGAAAAGAGACCGGTTCCGTCCCTATTACAGAGTTGTCAAACACATGGAAACTACCTTTATTGAATAGCTTTGATGCATCTATGGCAATCATATTTTCTATATTCCAAAGCCCTTAGAGTTCTGTTGTTGTCCGATAGATGTACAATAACTAGAGAGTTGTCTATCATACACTTGTAGTTGTTTTCTATATTTTTTGAGTTGTTTTGTACTCTTTTGGAGTTCTCTAACTTGGTAACCTATCACTATGTAAAGGAAACTGTTGGTTTCTTGATTTACCTTCATTTGTTTTATTTAGTTATGTTGGTGATTTTTTATTCTTTGGGCTAAAAATGGGAATTCCCTATTTTGCTAGTTATTATTTTGAAAATATGAGCATGGTACTGTAATTATCTAAAGAACTCTAATAAGGTTCTAATATTGTAACTCATAATTTTGCAGGTTCAACATTGTTGGGCAGGTAATTGAATTTCCTTTATTCGAAGATCTTCAGTTTTATTTATCACAGGAGGTTGATTCATTCTCTTAAGCTGAATCATTTGTTTTGTATTCCTTCTGAGCCTTTGAAAGCATTCTTTTGACAGTGGGCTGTAACCACTAGCGTAGATTTCTCCTTAGCACAACTTATCCAAGTGATCATCCTTCTCAGTACTGGAGGGAACAACGGTGGAGGATACCTAGCATCCAAATATATGGTTATAGGATTTCATGGTGGGATTCTTCTCATGCATGGGATCATAAACTGTCTATCAATTAGTTGGTTATCATTTTTGGGACAGCTTGCTGCTGCATGGAACGTCTTGGGTAAATGTTTACTTCAATTCCCTTCAGAATTTCTAGTTCACCATATCGAATTTGCATTAAGAACTGATACGGTAAACTCGTTTTCTCGTTTTTTTTTTCTCCCCTTTTTTCTTATTATTTCTTTTTTGGTAGGTGTTTTTGTCCTCGTGATTCTCATTCCCTGTGCTGCTACCGAGAAGGCCAGCGCAAGATTTGTGTTTACTCATTTTAATACTGAAAATGACGCTGGGATTCATAGCAAGGTTTACATATTTGTGGTGGGACTTTTGATGAGCCAGTATTCATTGACAGGATATGATGCATCTGCGCATATGGTAAATAAACATCTTATTACAAATGATTAAAGCATATTGGCTCTAAGGTGGTTTTCCGTCTAGAAAAGCAATAGCACGCAAGGAATAGCTAGAAAAGATAGAATCATGCAAAGCAAGCACATATCAAGCATAATGATAGAGAAGATATAGAAAGATGTTATTATAGATGATGTGGATATGTGAGTCTTGTATATCCCCATAAAAAAAGAGGAGTGCCCGATTATGGGGACTAAGAAATCATAAAAAGGATTAGCCTTTAAGCTTAAACATAAGTCAGTAATAATGGGTTGTTAGCCTTAAGTCTAAATTGAACTCAATAACTTAATTTATAAATAAGGTAGACCCTCTACTACAAAAAATTCATCAATTCCCGATGGTCAAATCCACTGGAAAAACAAAAATATCCAATGGTAAAATATATTTTCTGACGAATTTCTATCTACTCCATTTCCGTCGAAAAAAAAAGTTATGGGAAATGGCCTTTCGTTGAAAATCTTTCCGTTGAAATACTTCTGGTGAATTTTCAACATATTTCTAACAAAAAAATGGTCGGAAGTATAGGCAGAATATTTCTATAGGAAAAAATGGTCCAGTGAGATTTTCAGCGGGCTTACTCTACCTTTCCAGCAGCTAGTCCGCATGAATTTTCTTCAAACAATATCTTCTAGAAAAACCACAGGAAAATTTCCGGCTGAATTTTACCATCACAGGATAGCTGGAAAATTGTATTGATTGATTTCCGGCGGAAAAGCCACCGAAATTCACTGAAAACCTGTAGGAAAAAAAAACACTTTTCACTTAAATTCTTTTTTAATTATCAACAATCGAAGATAATATGATACACACACAATATAACATAAGAATAACAATTTCAACAAATTAGATTTAACTGAAAACCAAACAGTAAACTATTGTAAATTGAATTAACTGATGAACAACTACATCAGTTCTGAATCAATATATAAAGTAAATAAAATACATACATCAATAACCTCACTAAAGCTAACACTACTACTATTCTTCGGCGTCCTCACTCTCCTCAACTTGTGCAGCCTGCTCCTCACAATATTGCTCCATGAATTTACATAGCTCAGCCTGCATCTAACATTACTGCATTTTCATTTCAGCTTCTATTTTTTGCATATGCTTTGGCTCTTCTGTCAGGATGGCCATCTTCTGCTTAATTAGCTCATTCTGGCTGCTATCTGCAAAGCCCGCTGAGCTAAATGATTGTGTTTTATATGCATAGGCTTAAAAGTCAAATATGTAAACTCTCCTCTTATGCATTCCGCCTACTACTTGTAACCACATACTATAATCTGGGTACATCAATCTCACAGAGAATCCTCACCAACAACAACCTAGCTCTCCCTAAGCCGTGTATAATTCTCCTGAAATATACGAAATACATGTAACGATTCTATATAAATCACTTAAAAACATAATAACTATGTAAGTTTTTATACTCACATAGGATTTCATTGATCACTGATCAACTAACGCATGACCCTCCTGACATTAGTGGTTGCAAAAAGGCAACTCCACGGCAATGAGCTATCTATTCGTCACTTCTTTTTTAGAAGACTCTATTAAGTTAGCACAATAACTGAAAATATATGTTTGAAAACATATTAAACATGTATGTTTATACCATATGTTGTCTATGCTTAGTATGTAAAAAGTCACCATAATGGAGTAAGCTGCCTATGGTCACAACATCATAAGCTCTATTCTGCTTATTTTGTTGCCTCTTAATATAATCAGGACTGACCCAAGCTCTTCTCAACTATGCCCACACACCCTCACCAATTCAAGGAGGTCGTTCGCCTGACTACTGAATATTTATAAACATATCTCACAGGCAAGTCGACACTCACTTTTCAAAATTTTTCCTGATCCTGTCATTATTTTGGGGCAGCCATCCAAAATCTTTTTGTTTAACATTCACATTATAAAATATGGTTTGTTGTTATACTTTAAATGCATATTTATTATTTGAATAATTTCTTAACCACATGTCCTGAACATACTGCAGTATTTTCTTCTATGAAACATTAGGGGCATCATATTTGCTCCTTATGATTTTTGTGATCTTGTGCGTTGGTTTCCTTGTTGGATTAAAGCTATAAAAAAATGAAATTAGTACAAGTTAATCCATTAACATAAAAAATAGTTTGTACTTACATGTCTTTGTCAGGATCTATGAACATGTGGTCATCTGTAATCAGTGAACCACCCTCAAGGCGTTGCTCCATACCTATTGAAGGTCCACCTGGATATGGTTGTTATGGGGATGGATAATAGAAAGGCTGTTAGTAGGATGGGTATAGGTAAGTTGAAGGGCCTGCCTAAGATGGTTGTAAGGGGTAGTATGGGTAAAAGGGGGTGGCATGTGTAGGGTATGGTGAAAGGAAGTGAGTGTCTAGTGAAGGAAAGTAAGAGTTGGTATTAGTAGTACTAAGAAAAATAGGAGTACCCTGGCTCAGCTTGTAGACTATGATCCAGATGTCCCCTTAGCATGGGCTAGCCTACTGACCACCTTCTTTCATCGACCATATATGAATGTAATTGACCTGTGAGGGGACTCAATGCCATCTGAATCCAAAATAAATAAATAATGTATTAAAATCTAATTGTGCATAAAAGAAACATTAAAAAATTCATTAGATGGAAAATTAAATATCTCATGGCATTATTTTATAAATGATAGCTAGTTATGCAACAGAGTAAACTAAGCAATGGTTATTATTTTATGACATTTAATCAATACAAGTTAAACATATCTAGCATTCAATTGTCATTAGTCGATCATATTTCACTTGAGTTTAGTGTCTCTTTGTTAGCTGACTCATTCTCACTATTGGTATCACTATAAATATCATCCTCTTCCAACCTATGATGCATCTACACGGACACGTCGACACGGGCACGACACGACACAGACACGGGACACGGCATTTTTTAAAAATATAGGACATGGGTGCAGCGTGGACACGACATAATAATTTTTTTAATATAATATATAGAAATTAAGGTGATATTATATTAAAAATGACAAGCAATAATAAATCAATTTCATGATAACTTAGTAGAAAATGTCTAGCACAACCACAAAAAAATAAGCAAAAAATCATTTAGTACAACATGAAGGTGAAACTACTCAATAGAGAGAATGATAGAATTAGATTCAGAGGTTGATCTTTGGCCTTCAATATCATCATCATTGAATATCATTGCTTCTAACTCTGGTTCATCTAAAAAAAGATTTTCAACCTTCAATAATCCCATATCATCAAGGCACTCGAACTCATCTCCAGCAACATCCCACATCTTGTTATCACATGTCATATAAAGTGGGATTTTCTTTGATAGATGATGAAGATTTGTATGCACATAAACTAAATCTTCAGCTCGTTGTGGAGTTATTTTATTCCTCTTAATTGATTGAATAAATGAGTATGTGCTCCAATTTCTCTCACAACAGGAAGAGGATGATACTTGAAGTTCTGCTTATTTTTAAAGTTCATAAGTTTTTTTGTATAGAAAGATACCGAGCGGTATCGAGCATGTACTGAGCGGTACCGAGCATTTACTTAGCGGTACCGAGCATGTACTGAGCGATATCTAGTGGTACTGAGCATGTACCTAGCGGTACCGAGCATGTACATTAGGTTTTTTTGGTAAGTTTCAAAAAATAATAATTAATATTTCAGGCGTCGAGAGTCAGACGTTGATGCCAGATGAAATTACAATAAATTATATTTAAAAAAAATCATAAAATATTTAAGATACGCGTGTCGGACACACATGTTGGACACGCGTGTACAATTTGCATTTAATATTTTTTAATCGGACACGTTTTCGGCGTGTCCAACACGTGTCGGAGTAGTGTCGGATGAGTGCCGTGTCGGACACGGTGTCGGACACTGCACGCCTCTTTGAGGGGAAGTGTCGGTGCATCATAGCTTCCAACTATACCTCAGTGTCATTCAGCACAGTATGGTCATCAAAATCATCCTTAAAATATGATATTCTCTTCTCTTGATGCACTACCTATATCATATAAAGACTTGCAATAATACCTTAAGGTTTGGTTTTGATAACTATAAGCAAATCTTGTTTATCTCTAACTTTGATTAGATATTTAGCATAATATACCTAATTGGCTTGATGTGCTATGATGAATGGATCAAATTTAGAATATGTCCTACTTCGATAATACCGTGAAGCGGATCTCACTATTTGGAATTGAATCATATCACTCGTAGTTGAAGAGGTTGAACTGATTATTTATTGCCTTCACTTGGATATTGTAGCTGAATAACCTCAACATTCACATTTTCTATATGAGTATTTTACCTTATAGAAATACCACAATTTTCATTTTTTCTCGCTTCAATCCAAGATTTTATATAAAATCTATATCCATTCACAAAGAAAATAGGCCAAATGTTAACTGCTCACATGGGACCCCATGTAAGGTCATTTAATCTTTTGTTCAAAATCATATTTATTGGGTTATTAACCTAAAACATATAATAAAACATTAGGATAACTAAGAGAGATGTTAGGAGGTTTTATATTAGTTTTACCGTTAAGGTTCAGGTGCTGACAAATGTCTTAAACTATTTTGCGAAATTCATCTTTATTTTCTCTATGGTGGTTATATCTACTGTGGGTAACAAACTAAAAAGCATCCTGCAAACCATTGGTATTAAGGTTGTGGATAAGCATCTTGTTATAATGGTAATAGTTATGAGATACTCACTCTAATAGGGGTTCAACTTCTTAGCAGTTGAGGAGGGTGTACAATATAACAACAATGATCTCCTTATCAATTAGATATCTAAATGTGCATCTTCTTCATGGCTGCCTCCATGAGTTAGCTTGCAACAAATTTGCGACAGCAATTTCCGCCACAAAATCAGCGACTGAAATTGACGCCTCTAATCTCCCGCAAAAAAAAAAAATCTTCGAAAATTTTTGTCGCAAATCCGTCA